CTGAAGGAGCTGGAGGGGGCTCAGGAGCAAAGGAGGCTCCGGGGGGACCTTCTGGCTCTGCACAACTCCCTGACAGGAGTGGGCAGCTGGGAGGGGTTGGGCCCTGCTCCCAGGGAACAGGGACAGCACAAGAGGAAACAGCCTCAAGCTGTGCCAGGGGAGATTCAGATTGGCCATCAGGAGGAATTTCTTCATGGAAAGGGTTGTTAAACATTGGAATGAACTGCCCAGGGCAGTGGTGGAGTCACTGTCCCTGGTGGTGTTCAGGAAATGACTGGACCTAGCAGTCAGTAGTGGTGGGACAAAGGCTGGACTCAAGGATAGTAGAGGCCTTTCCCAAACTCAACGATCCGGTGATGTGAAAGCCCCAGCCCAGCTTTGTGGGTATGAGGATCTGCTGGASACAGGACACGTTTACATCTGACATTCCCTTCCCAGCACACACAAGGTTTGTTTGCCCGCACTGGGAGCAGTGCTGGAGGAGCACTGTGGACACACCATGTCATGTGGGATACTTCCTTCTTGTGGAAGCAGCAGCACAGGGAGCCAGGTGGGTTCTACACCTTGTCCTGGCACTGCCTCATCTTGGTCATGCTGTGGGAGCCGGGAATGCCCCAACTCCCTGCCAGGGATGGACCCATGCAAGAGCAGGGTGGGAACCGAACCTCAGAGCTCTTTGCTGGGTGGGACTCCAAGTGCCACCTTCTGTGTGTTTGGGATTTTACTGTGCCTTTCCAAAGCTGTGCCCGCAGCTGGGGTGAGCGCCACAGTCCCTGCAACCCACAGTTCACCTGACTGGGACTATGGCAGAACAGAACCCRCTTTTGGGGTGGAACTGAGGTGTCAGAGACAAGCATGTAGCTCATGCTGAGGCTTCTGCCRTGACTGCACTGCTCTGGATGCCCAGTCCAGCTTCCTCAACCCCGCCCTAGGTTTGTCTATGTAAATTGTGGTCACCACTGACCATCCTGTGGGATGTGAGGCATTGCTCACACCAGGACATGGCTCCAGTGGCTGGAGGGCTTTGGGAACGGTGGCCACTCATAGTACACAGCAGCAGTAGGGTGACAAATGTCTCTAAGGCTCCACACCACCTGGGTTGAGCTATCATCTGACACAGTGAGGTTTGCAGTCACTGATGCTCCTGGTACTGCATCCCAGCTTGGTCCCTGAGCAAAGGAATTCCCTAAGGCTGAGCATCCCTGACACGTGAGCCAAGGAAATGCTGCAGCCAAGAGCAAACCCACTGCCTTCCAAGAGCCTTCACGTTTCTGGAGGGGCCCCAGTGACTCAGTGCTCCCTTCACTGGCTGTGAGGAGGTGCTCACTGGGGACGGCGATGCAGCAAATGAGGCACCCTACAAGGGGAATTAACAGAAAATAATTTGTAATAATGGGTGAATCAAAGGGTTTAATCCAAGGTGTTAGAAATACAGAATCATGGTATCATTAAATTGGAAAACTTCTCTCAGATCAAAGAGTTCAACCACTAACCCAACACTGCCACATTCACCCTAAACTATGTCCTCAAGAGTCACATCCATAAGTTTTTGAACATTTTCATGGGTGGGGWCTCTACCACTGACCTGAGCAGCCTGTTCCAAACTGACTGGTCTAGAGAGAGCTCTTCCTCCAGACCCATCATTTTTCTTTTCTCTAATATTTGCACATCAGTCTCACAGGGTTGGGAAGAAAATGAAGAAGCAAAAAGTTCGACATTTCCAGGAAGACACAGAACAAGACAAAAGGATGAAGCCAGGGATAGCAGCTTTTAAGAGCCATGGGTGGGACAGAACACTTTTGGTGTCACCATCTGAGGCAGTACCTTAGATTARGGCACTTCAAGAGCAGCATCTCAGGTGCAGGTGCTGGGGAGCAAGACCATGGACATGCTGCACTCCAGGGCAATTTGGAGCCAGTCATTCCCTTCAATATTACACTGGGTCACTTCCCTGAAGTACCTGAGTTTGCCTCTGCACCTCAAAGGACTTGGCCACTTCTCAGACACATTCACAGCTCCAGCTCCAGCTGGAAATAAATCCAAAAATTTTGCCTTCAAAAACAGATTTGCTTTATCTTTGGTTTCATGTTTTACAATCCAGGAATTACAAACAGGAAACATATTTTAGAAAGTCTGGAACCTACAGAACTCAAACAGTCTGTAGACAAAAGCTGAAGTTATCCCAAGCTAGAGGCTGGTGGTGGATGTGTGGAATCTTCAGTACTGTCTGAAAGGAGCAGAATGGAGGCAGCTGCTCAGTGTGGTCGGGGAGTCTGGTGTCTGTTGAGCTTGTTAAGCACATTTAGGCTTGAGGTTATGTGTTCCAAAGTGCCAGTGGCACCTAGGACTGCTCAGCCCTGAGTGCACTCATCTCCCTGTGCACTCACCTCCCTGCTCCATCCAGCTCCAGAGGCAGGAGATAGGGATCCGGGGGGGCTGATTCATCCTGACCTGACAGATCTCCTAGATAGAGGAGATGAATCACCTCCCCTGCCTCTGCCTTTGCTGGCCAGGGGAGAAGTCAGACAACTTGTCAGGACTAAATGGCTGATTCCCAGATAGACTCAGTTAGGTAAGACAAATTTTACTGTGAATCCTTCACAGGTCCCAGTCCTTTTTACTAAAGTAACTCAGGTCCTGAAGACCTTTACCAAAAATATTTMGAATTAAGGGCTTGCATGACACTTAAATTTGGAGAAAGACCTTCCCTCCTCAGTAGGAGCAGAGGAGTCTCTCAGAGAACAGCCAGAGCTGCCCAAAAGCCCGGTGTGCCAAAAGGCACTGAACCGTTGTGTCCACGAGACTCTGGTGTCTAACGGAGGCCCTGACCTTCATCACCTTCATCACTTTCATCAACTTCAWCACCACCTTCTAGCTGCTCCCCACAATACTGTCACTGCTGACTGAAACACCCAGCAGCCAGCGGCATTGCCACCTACCCAGCATTTGTCCAGCTGCCACAATGACTGGATCAGAATCAGGAATTAACATGAGGAAACAGTAACCCTCACTGCAGTAGCACCTTGCCAGCGTGAGCAGAGCTGGGCCTTGGCTTCCTCCCTCTTTAACAAAAAAAAAACAATCTACAAACGCTTGGAATGGCTGAAAGAGCAATTTTGTGGGGACAAAGCACAACGAAGTGTTCAGGAATCACAACAGGTAAACAGCAATGTATCACCGAAACAAAACATCCCAATTGCTTGATTTGTTAAGCTCAGAAGCTCCACCTTGACCTCGGGAGCTGCCTCAATTGCACTTTTCTGGTGGCCACAAAAACCTTTCCTGGTTACCATGGCTGGACCCTCTGCAGGGCTCCACCACTGCCTGAGGGACAGACACAGGACACCTGCATGGATGGACCTGTGCTCTGACCCATCACAGAATACCAGAATGGTTTGGGTTGGAAGGATCCTCTAAGTCCATCCAGTCCCACCCCCTGCSATGGGCAGGGACATCTTCCACTATCCCAGGSTGCTCCAAGCCCCATCCAGCCTGGCCTTGGGCACTTCCAGGGATCCAGGGGCACCCACAGYTGCTCTGAGCAACCTGTGCCAGGGCCTCCCCACCCTAACAGGGAACAATTCCTTCCCAGTATCCCATCTAACCCTGCCCTGTGGCAGTGGGAAGCCATTCCCCCCTGCCCTGGCACTCCATCTCTTGTAAATAATTTCTCCATCTTTCCTGTAGCTCCTGCAGGTACTGCAARGCCACAGTTAGGTCACCCCAGAGTTTCTCTTCTCAMGGCTGAACAATCCCAACTTTCCCAGTCTTTCCTCACCGCAGATCTCTGCATCCTCCTGATCAATCTGATTACTCCTTTGGACCCTTTTGGTGACAGAAGCCTCCTTGCTGGGATTTAACCAGTACAGCAAAGGACACTGAAATGGGCCAACAGACAGGCTGGAAATAAACATTTCAAAGACACTCCAGTGCTCCCAGTTTTCCTACTGAAYACTCAGTGATGCAAACCCAGCAAGGGACACCGCTGCCTTGAAGCCATCGTGCTACATCAAGGCCATTAGGAAAAACCCAGATAAATCCTTCTGAAGCTGAGGAATGCTGGTGATCTAAACAGGCAGAGGATCTGGCAACCASCAGGAAAAGCTACAGCCCTGTCTGTGTGCTTGGAGCCACCAAAACCTTTCCTGGCTCAAGCCTCTGATGGCTGACATGGAACTGCTTTGCAGCCCCAGTGTTGTTGAAAGGAGCTCTTTGCTTTTCTCATATTCAAATCCCAGATCTGTGAATTGCTCCATTCTACTTTAGAGCTGATGAAAAGCAGGGAAGAACAGAACACAGGTCTGAGGTGGAGGGGCAACATGAGCACAAGCTGTCCCTCCCAGTGGACTGTGGGGTGGTTTGGAGTGACTCCCAGGAGTCTGTCACCAGGCACCAGGAGCTCTGTGGGATGTCCAGACTCACACTGCACAGAGACAGGTATCATCTCACCAGTGCTTTTTCTAGAAATGTGCAATCATTTATTTGGAAATCACTGTGGAAGAACTGGACCCCGTTTTTTGCAAGCGTGGAGAATACTGGGAAGGGTCTGCAGTAGCACTGAGGCTGGGAACAGCTCTAATGCAAATCCCGTGATCCTCATTCCCCAGCCACATTCCTATCATTCAAAGCCACATTTTGGTGCATAGGAACAAAGATGGGAACAGGTCCAGGTGAGCACTGGATGTGCTCCAGGCTTGAACTGAGCTGTGATAGCCTGAACACAGCCCTGATCCTTCAGGCAGCTTCCAAACTCTTGTGCCGTTGAATATCAGCCCACAAATCCAAACCAAATCTTGCCCACTCTAAAATCCTCACACAAAACAGCTGTGGAGCCCTTGATCCTCCTCCTCCACTGCACTGAATCCCTTTCTAAGAGAGTCAGGAACCCTCTYGGGCAAGTTTCTGAAACACTGTGACCCTTCCTACATGTCTGTGAGAGGTTCTTCCTGTCCAGGTCACCTCAGACCACACCACAATTCCCAGATAAAGGAGTGTCTTACCGGGTATCCCCAGGTGCTGTTCCCTGTCTGGGTTTTGGTGTAGTAGCTGCCCCGGGACGTCCCATAGCCGTAACCATCAGCTAAACCATCGTACATGGAACCTGCAAATGGAAAAGGCATGGTCAGCATGAGAAAGCATTCCCTGGAGAAAGAATTCCCAGCAGGTTCCTCTCAAAGCACAGAACTCTTCTTTAACAGCAAGTTTAGTTATGGAAAAGTGATAGAGTTCTAAATCTCAACAGGAACATGGGGAATACAGGCAGCCCTTGTCACTGCTGGGATCTCCAGCCCCGACACCACAGACACTCCAAACCACCCTAAGRTTTGCAGCACAAAACAGCAAGGGCCATAAAAGTCAAAGCAGAGGAGTAGAAAGGCTCAGAGATGGGGCCAGTGTCTGAGATCATGGAAACCACAGAATCACAGACTGATTTGGGTTGGAAGGAACCTTAAAGCCAGCCCATCCAGTGCCACCCCCTGCCATGGGCAGGAACACCTTCCACTATCCCAGGCTGCTCCCAGCCCTTTCCTACCTGGCTTTGGACACTGCCAGGGATCCAGGGGCACCCACAGCTGCTCTGGACACCCTGTGCCAGGGCCTCCCCACCCTAACAGGGAACAATTCCTTCCCAATATCCCATCTAACCCTGTCCTCTGGCAGCGGGAAGCCATTCCCCCTTGTCCTGGCACTCCAGGCCCTTGTAAATAGTTTCTCCCCATCTTTCCCGTAGCTCCTTCAGGTACTGGAAGGCCCCAATTAAGTCACCCTGAAGCTTCTCTTCTCCAGGCTGAACARTCCCAGTTCTCTCAGCCTTTCCTCACTGCAGAGGGGTTCCCTTCCTCTGATCAACTTGGTGGCCTCCTCTTTGTTGTGTGTGAGGCACCTGATGATACATTGTGCTGCACGTCCTGGAATGTCTGGCCATGGAGGACACATCCCTCATTCTGACATTATTGAAGTAAATACAATTTCCCTCTCTGAAGGCAGAACCCACCCCTGACCCTTCCACCAGTTCACTCCATGTTTGAATCCCACCAATCCCACCAGCATGAACAGCCTGAGCAAGGCTTGAGAAAATCCACCAATAGTCACTAACAAATATCATGGATAAAGGATGATTCAGTCTATTTAACATGTGGGGATCTAAAACAAACAGTCAAACACTACACAACCTCACTGCACTCTTTGAATTTCAGTCTTGCCTCTGAAAGATCACTTTGTGTGTCTGTACTTTCTTTTTGTGAAAATGTATGGAGCTTTGTCRTTACTTTTGGGATGTGGGAGGGAGAAGTGCCACTGAATCTCCGATTTTTTTTTAAAGATGCAAATATCTTGGATCAAGAGGAACCCAGCAGCCATTTCTCYTATTTCTCAGTGCTTTAACTTGAGTTTGGATCTACCTATCCCAGCACTTCTAAGCGCTCTCCCAGCAGTCTCTGGCACTRCAACCTTTGGATCTCTCCTAAAAGTATTTTAGTCAATGCCATGTTAATCATGCCGAGACAAATGAAGTGAATCACCTTTCCACAATGGAATTCCCTTAATCCCCTTTGGATGGTCCAAAAGAGTTTAGGGTGATTTCAGTTTCATTTTCAGAATGCTCAATAATTGAGGCATCCCAGGTCCCGTTATGAGGAAGTGCAAACCCTACACTCCAATTAACTTCCAGGGGAAGCTCTGAATGTCTAACAAAGTACAAAATCAGGACTTACCTGTCCTAACTTATGCACCTAAACTGGTGGGTAATGTCAGAAATATCCTAATCTCTGTGATTGTTTGATATGACTCATCTATGAGATAAACTGGATAAGCTCGACCACAAAGGCCCCGGAGCCACTAAGGTCTCCTCCAGCCACTGATCCTTGGAATAAACCTAATTTATTGCCCTGCCTGAGGCACCCAGAACCTGTTATGGTGATTTGGTTTGTGGCTAAAAATTCTTGCATTTTCTCAGGAAGATGATTCCCGTGGATGTGGTGTAAATAATGAGATTTMCTTTCTATTGTCAGCAGGAGAGGAGCGGGACTGCACCTGGAGAGTATCCCTGGATGCAGAACGGGCCACAGCCGGGTCGGCTCCCAGACCTGCACCTGTGCAGGAAACCACAGGAGATCCTTGTCCGTGATCTGGAGATGTGGAGGGCTCCTCATCCAGCTCTCCCAAGCCCTGAGTACCTCATGCACATGAAGTTGCACAGAACTTTCTGATAAGGCAAGGAAGTGACCACGGAAATGCAGTGAGAGATTCAACCGTGTCCTTCCTCGTGCTCCCTCCCCACCCAGGATTTCCCTTCAACTCCACATCAGRACATTGGTGTTGGGCCTTAGCAAGAGCCAGGCAGTGCTGGAGTGGGGAGTTTGGGCCAGCAGATTCCCCAGGACACAGAGGTATCTGATAACCATAATTCTGACCATGAAGGTTAAGCCATTCCATGATCATTTCCTGGGAATTCCTTTAAGTCATCCCCTTGTTCTTTGTAAACATCCTGTAACTGCAGGTGGGAGCACCTGGAGTATTTTCCTGAGTGAGCAGCTGTAAAAAGGGGCTCTGGGCCTGATCACAAGTCCCTCTGACAACTCCTCCCTGGGGACCACACATTTCCTTTCACAATCTGTTTCTACCATGCACTCCAGACTTTGGAGCTGAGCAAGGAGGAACCCAAAATAAGCCAAYTGAGGCACATCTATAATTTTCTCGGATAAATTCACTGCTACATGGCCAAATTCAGGAGATCAGGCAGCTGGTGCAAGTTTATGTTTTCTAACTGTGGAAGGGTTGCCTTCATCTCCCAGAACTTGTACATAAGAGCTTATAAACACMTAATTACACAGAACCTCAAATGTTCAAGGCATTTTGAAGACACCCTGCTGGTTGGACCTGCCACCACACAATTGGGATTTATTGCTTGGAGAGCTCATTCTTGAAGCCAGGAAAGAACCTGGGCATTTTCTGGTGGAGGTGGCTGAAGAAAACCTGATCTTTCTTTGTGCAGGTTTGGACACTTCTCTGCCTGGTTCATCTTGAGAGTCAGCTGGGAGCTGTATCCCCAGCCCTCAGGGAGAGGAAGATCCCTCTTTTCAAACACCTCAAGAGTAAAGACCTCACAAGCTGGTCACAGGTCCTTGGAATTTGGGATAAACCCAGACAATCTCACAAAACCATTTGGGCCAGAGTGGAAACACTCATAGTGGGAGATGTCCCCCTGGTGTTTTCTCTGGCTATGTCCATGTGTCTGTGTCCCAGCTGCTGTCACCCAAGCAGCTGTTTAGGTCCCTGAAGGACCCACATGCACCTGGACAAACACAGAGCCAATTCAAATTGCTGCATTCAGTGTAAATAGCACAGAACCATGGAATCACAGARTCAKTGAGGCTGGAAAAGCCCTCTGWGCTCATCGCTTCCAACCATTGCCCCAGCACTGCCGTGTTCACCGCTACACCATGTCCCAGGTGCCACAGCCACACATTTTTTTAACACTTCCAGGGATGGTGACTCCATCGCTGCCCTTGGCAGCCTTGCCAGGGTCTGACCACCCTTTCCATGAAGAAATTTTCCCCAATATCCAACCTGAACTTCCCCTGTCTCAACTTGTCCTGTCCCTGTTCCCTGGGAGCAGRGCCTGACCCCCACCTGGCTTTCCCCTCCTGTCAGGAGTTGTGCAGAGCCACAAGGTTCCCCCTGAGCCTCCTTTGCTCCAGGATGAGCCCCTCCACCAGCTCCCTCAGCCACTCTTCATGACAGAGCACCCTCAACAGCTGGGTTAGAGCTGGAAAGATGTGGCAGAACCACCCAGATGAGGTGCAGCCTCTCAGTAACCATATGGGCAGAAAACACCCCTGAAAGGCTGCTCAGATTCCCCCCTCCCCAAATTATCATTCCCCCATGGCATTTCCTTTAAAGTTTAGACACTTTTAAATCTCTTCGATCTTCAGTGGGACAATTCATAAGGGTAAAATCCATTTACAATGGATAAGAAGTGCAAGACCTTGCAATGCATCTCTCTGAGCCCCCCTACACTGCTCCCACTGTCCTCATCCCCTTCTCCATCCTTTTTATTCATCCTTGCAGAGCAAACTGAGGCTGCCATCGAACCCACTATAGCTGTTCTTGATGAGTTATTTCCTTTCCTCAGAGGCAACTCTCCCCCCTGCAGCTGGCACTGGAGGCAGGAGGAGAGCTGTGTTCAAATGGCCATTTTCCCAAAGCCAGCCGGACACACAGGCCCATGTGGAGGTTGTGGAAAAGGATGCCTCTTAATAAATATTAATCTGTGGCAGGGAAAGGCAAGACAAGAACCCGTCACCAGCAGTGCAGGCTTGGCAAGTTAAATCATAAACTATGCACAGCTTTAAACAATAAGGATGATTAAACATAGGAAAAACACAGGGAGAGCAGAGGCCTGTGGGAGGCACAAAACAAAGCCTGGGTGCCTTCTAGGAGAGAAGTGTCAGTGAAATCCCAGACAYTGAGTTTCCTGCAGGAATGACCAAACTCCAGTTCTGCCTCCTGGCCTATGCACTAATAGCTTTGGGGATTTTTTTGTATACCAATAATCTGAGGCTTGTGGAAGAGTGGAACCTTTCACTGAATCATCTCATGCTGGAGGAAGTTACACAAGCCTTCAAAAGACTTTTTATCCCYCAAATCTCCTCTTCCCTTCACATCAGAGTCCTGATCTCCACCAAAGCCAGAGCTCGGTGGGATTTCTCCCCTCTCAGCCATAGCCAGCACAGAAACCTCTCAATCCCAGCTCAGCCATGGGACAGCTGGATAATCCTTGGATGTGTCTCTCAGTGGCAAATCACTGGCAGAACTCTCCTTTGGCCAGAGGACTTTGCAGAGCAGAGCTGTTGGCTATGAGGAGCTGGTTCAGCTTGGCCTGGCTTTTTCTCCTGCCATGCCRCTGAAATTCCTTTTCCCTGGAATTCTGCATCACTCACAAACTCAGAAGGAGCCATCCAGTTCAGCAATCCCATGGGGAGAAGGACATATAAGCCCTAGGGCAGAGCTCACAGACCCAACTCCCAAGGAGGACAGACTCCACAGACTTCACAGTACTCACAGACCTCACAAGCCCCACAGACCCCAGACTCCACAGTCACCCTTGGGAACAGCTGTAGCTGGGTGCAGGATTATTCTGCTGGCAGATTTCTGCTCATTGTCCTAATCCAGCGCACACCAGTTTGGGCCCAGATTGGCCACCTTGCCCTGGCGGACCCCAGATCTCCAGAGTGGCAACATCTCGACCTGCTGGACTCCAAATCACCAACTCATTCATGGCTCCATCAGTCACGGAGTCACCGAGAGAGCGACTGCTGACCCAGCAAAGGAGCTCCCGCTCTGGGATACAACACCMCCACCCTGCTGTGTGCACAGGTTCTATGTCCACACTTTCCGTCCTACACACACCAGGACATAGTTCCTGAAGCTGGGGAAAGCTCTGGGCCCTGCTCCAGCTCTGGCTTAAACCACAGCTCCAAACACAGCAACAAACAGCTGGACCCGGCCCAGCCCCACTCTGGGACTGTCTGGGACCAGAGGGAACAAAGCACTTGGGCACTTGTCAGGGTCTYTGGGAATTCCCCAGCTTGTGCTGCCTCTGAGGAGCATCTCTGAGAAATCCCAGGGGATTGCAGGGAGCTGGAGGTGGAGGAGGGTTTGGATGGGCAGAATCCATGTCCAACAGACTCACACAGCTTCTTCCCAAGAATTAATTTCTCATCAGGACTGCCCAACCGATGCTTGGTCAAGAGCAGTAAAAACCACCACCTGAAAGCTGAGCCCGACTCTGTCCAACACCAACCAGGAGAAAACCCTGGGAACGAACAGCAACTGCTCGCCCTTCTGGGATTCCATCCAGGAATGTGCYGGGATGAATCAGCCCCCAGGACCTTTGCTGGGCAATCTCCCCTGGTGGAAACAGGAGGGCTTGGAGGCAGCTCCTGGGAGCAGGATGTGACTCAGCTTCCCTAGGACACAGAAACCAGAGCTGCACATCTCCACGCAATTCCCATTCCCAGACATTTCCCAAAGTGTCTGGAGGAGGGGTTTAGCTCATTGGGCAGAAACAGTTTGGGAATGTGCTCTTTTTCCCCTTTCCCAAAGGTTTCACCTGGGCTCCTCTCCAAGCAGGATAATCCCCCCTCCCCACCTCCCTTCCCTCCCATGGATCCCTCTGCCTGCTTTCCTCTCCATCTYGAGCCCCTCAGCTCATCCTGCTGTGCATTTTATTTTGTCAGCTCTGGCACTGAACCCTTGAGCAAGAAACTCTTTGGTGGTGGGAGGAGATTCCCATCTTCCACTTTGGTGGCAGAGGAGAGCTCTCTTTGCCCAGCCTCCCCTAGCCCCTTGGAGACTGTCCACAAAAAGAGACAAAGCAGCGATTTGTTCCAGYTGCCCTTGCTCTGGAGCTGCTCCATTCCCTCTGTTCCACCGACTGAAATTCCCAGATCTGGGATGGTTCCCGTGGAAGCACCATCTCCCTCAGCAGCCTAAAGCCACCCAGCTTCTCTTGGTTATCCAATCTCATACACATCTMTGGACCATGGCACCTTACCAGCACAAGATTCAGCCTCACAATCCAGTTGGAAGAGCTGCAGGACAAGGCACAGCTCCTGAAGGAGGTGTCAGAGCCTGGCCCAGCTCACCCAGCACCCCTCTCCAATCTGCTCACTCCAGACTCAGTCCCAGCTCCAGCACCCCCATGGCCCCCAAAGCCTCAGGACTTCCTCTCCCTGGAGAATTCAGCCAGGCCAGAGCTCTCTGTGGCTCCTGCAAAAAGCACCTCCAAGAGCCCGGAGGTTTTGCACAGAGGTTGTCACAACCCTCTGGCTTTGCAGCTTCCATCTGGAGAAAGCTGGGCTTTACCTCCAGATCAGCCACCTCCAGACACAAGAATGACAGAGGGARCCATTTGCCAAGCCTTGATCCAAAAAGGGGTTCCAGCAGGAAGCCTGGCTCTGGGACTCGGCTGACTGCTTGTTTTCTGTGGCACAGACTCAGTGCACAGAGGTGGAACGGCTGCCTGGACCCCGACACGGGCAAAGTGGAGGGGGCTGTGAAACACCTTCYCCAGCCAACACCAGGGACTGTCCTCCCAACCCACCACTCCCACTGGGGGTCCCACAGGCTCCACACTTCCCAGCCTGCAAATAAGAGATCAGCTGGGAGTTCCAGAGGCAAATCCCAAGCCGAGGTCTGTGTCCTGTGTGTGGGCACAGCCTCCTGGTCTGCACCTGCCCAGTGCTCAAGAGACAGTAAAGCCCCGGCTCCAGCCCAGGGCAGGGTGGAGGAGCATGGTCAGCTTTGCCAATCCACAGGAGGGGATGGGAGAGAATGCCATCCATGGAGGGCAATTGCAGAGCAAGGATCTGCAAAACCAGGCAGCTACTCCAGCTTTAGAGCCAGGGGAAAATTGGTTATAGCCCCACACTGAAATGTCCAAGTGCCCCAGGGATGAGGAGCAGAGCAGCGCTACCAGGGGTCGGCTCAAGCCGGGAGGGAAGAGATGAATCCAGCTCCGTGTCCTGTCCTAAACCCTTCCATCCAGTGCAAGAGATCTCGGCACTGCCCGCCGGCGGTGACCCAGGAGAGAAGCAAAGTGCTCTGTCCCCCACACCAAAACCCCACCACAGCACTCCAGAGCAGAGGACCAGCCCGGCCCTAGAGGAGATCCCTTGCTGTGGGACTTTACCTCGGTTGGAGTGGCCCACACTTGACGAAACCGACGACTTCTGCTTCTGCCTCTTGACYGTCATCATCACCTGCTCCTGGACCCGCTGCTTGCCAGTGCCCTTGGTTTTCAGCTTGTGGTCCGAGGGCAGGGCCAGYGTGGAGCTGGCCTGGTCCTGGAAGCACTCGTAGGCCAGCGCCGTTTTCAGCGGGGAGTGGAGCATGGCTGGAGAGCACGGGCACAGGGGCTGCACTGCACACACAACACGAGGCCACCGAACACCGTCTGTGCTGGGCTTAGTCCCCCAAAGCCCTCCTTGCCATACGGCCCCTGGCCCAGGGTGTCTCACGGCTGCTGCTCGCAGCTCGGCTCCGCGGCGTGTGAGCAGTCACACCCTCTGCCAGACTGGATATACAGCCCTGCCCGCACACACCCACGCGCGCCCCGCCAGCGCCGGCACCCCCGCGCCGCTGAGGGCCCAGCCTCCCCCAGCCCCTGCCCAGCCTCCCCCAGCCCCTGCCCAGCCTTCCCCAGCCCCTGCCCAGCCCCGCGGGGTCAGTGGCCAGTGGGCAAGGCGGGGGCTCAAGGGTGGGCACGGATATTGTCCCTGGGGAGGGTCGGGCTGAGGCCCTATGGCTGTGGGCAGGGAACGGCGCTCCCTGGCCGCGGGGGCTGCAGCATCCCCCACGCGGCTCCTTTGGGCTTCCAGCATTCCCTCGGTGTCCCAGTGCCAGGAGATGGCCCTGCTTKCAGGAGCAACGCTGCACAGGCCTGGCCAGAGGAGCAGCATTGCCCAAAGGCTGCAAATCCCCCTCGGAGCCCAAGAACGCAGGTTCCCTGTGGAACACGGGCTGTAGGGGTCAGGGAGGGTCCTGACCAGGCCCCTGCAGAGTCAGGGACCTCTCCCAAAGGGGAGGAACAAGCCTGTGGGGAAATCAGGGCACAGCTCGGGCCGTCCTTGCAAGCAGCTTGGGGTAGCAGGGGGGAAAAGAGCACATTYAACAAGAACGGGGGATAAAATGGCTGTGCAAGAAATGACATGCCAGGCTACGAATGGGAGCAGAGAATTCTCCCTTTGCCAAGCCACACTGCAGCAACTCGTCTGCAGAGAGCCGAGCACCTCACTGCTGGTGTGACCAGTTTCAGGTCACAGCAAGTGCTGACAAAGCTCCTGCCAAGCCACAGGAGGCTGATACAGGAGAAGAGGCACAATCCCAATCAGGAGGGAGGCTGAGGGGAGGATGCCCAGGGCAGACACTTCCTAGGTGCCCCGGGACCAGGACCTGGGTGTTTGTGCCAACACTCGGCCAGAGGAGCAGAGCCCTTTGTGCTGCCAGATGGATCAGCTGTGGGAGAAAGGCTGCAGGGAGTTTCTCTTCAGTGGGAATCAGYAGTGCCCAGGGTCTGGCTGCCTGCAGGCCTGGTGTTTTATTTCACTCCCATCCATCAGGTTTTGTGTTTCCCTGCTGGTTTGTGTCCATCTTTCATGTTTTATAGGGGCAAGAGCAGCACCAAGAAAGCACAAGGCAGGCTCCTGAGAAAGATGAGCTTTGTGCACTGTCCTTTTCCATGCTCCAGGCTGCTCCTCCCATGGAGCCCAGAAGCAGAAAGCCAGGTTTTATCAATAAGACACAGGAGCAGAGCAACTGAAGTGTGTTTATTTGTGTTTGGTCCCCTCTCCCCAGCTTACCTGACACCTCATCCAAGGCATGCAGAGGCTTTGCTCTGCTCCATCACCCAACCAGCCAGGGCTTTTAGACCATGCCCAGGCAGGGCCAGCCCGGAGGAGGGTGGGTGCTGCCCAGGGCCGGCTGGGTGATGCCCAGTGGGATGGCGTGGATGGAGTGAGTGGGTGCCCTCCTTTGCTGCTGCCCCTGAGCGTTTTCAGGCATGGGGATCAAGCCGTGCTTTCCCAGGGCAGGCAGGAGCGGGGCAGCAATGCCTGGCTGTTGTTTTCCTCTGTCCCACTTGTTTCTCCTGAAAGCTCGATATCGATGCCAAGTGGTGTTTTCGCAAATCAATGACAGGCTGTCAGCRTCAGGTGGCTCCTGCACAACAAAGTGCCAGCTCTCGCAAACCTGTAATGTCACTTGGCCCCGGGCGAGAAACAGCCCTGCCCCCGGCCCCGCGTGTTTATCACATCCCGTCACCGCGCTCCGGCATCTCCCTGTTTCATAACCCGCCCGAAATGCTGAGCTGGGCTGCGGAGCTGCGGACGGGGAGCTTAGGGAGGCTTTCAGGAAACAATGGTTTCTTGGGGCGAGTTCGCACGGTTTAGCCCAAGGGAGGGAATCTCCGGGGATTCTGCAACAGATTCCAAACCCGTATCTGGACGAGCAAAAAGTGCTGAAACAAAGGAGTGTGTCGCAGCTCGGTGCAAACAGCAGTTTTGGTATCGGGCTTGGGGGTGTCCCTGAGCGGGGCACGGGGAGCATCAGCCCGGACAGCCCAGCGCAGCCCCGGCCCAGCAGCAGCAGCAGAGCTTTCATCCAGCAGCGCCCCGAGCGAATTCCCTGTCTGCCTTTGTGTCTGGAGCTCACGGTAGAGCGGCCAGGGCTGAAAGGGACGCAAACGCCGTGCCGAGCTCGGGGTGCGATGGGCAGAGACGGGAGGGTTCCATGAATCAGTGCCAGTCAGGAGGAGGGCGGGGGTCGGGGGGCTCGGGGGTCCCGGCGCTGCCCGAGCAACGCACGGCGGGGCCGTGACTCACGCTCCGCACCCACTCCGGGACACGCCCTGTGCATCTGCGCTCTTCAAAGCATTTTTGTGCGAGTTCCTGGGATTCCTGCCAGCTGCCTGATCGCAATCAAAGCGCTCGCTGGCCCAATGCTGCTCCCGGAGCAGCGCAGGTTCTCTGTTCAAACTTGTCGGGCCCTCCTGAGCTGGAAGTGTCTGCAGAGCGCTCCAATTCTGCTGGGGGGATAATTTCTCCCAGCTCTGGTGTCACGAAGTCCAGCTGTTGGGAGCTATTTCAGCACCGGGGGTTGATTCTTCCTCAGGGCAGTTGGTCACCAGGAGGGGCAGAGGTACAGATGCTGGGAACTTTTTGTCCTTCCCAGGATAATGCCGTTTTCTGAGCAGTAACTCAGCCGAGCCCCATCACAGCTGAGACTTTCCAGAGCCTGGGAAGGTTTCTCCAGGAGAAAACCCGCTCTTCAGATTTACACACCTTGTCTTCACTCTGCCTGCCTTGAAAGTGTCTCTTTTGTGGGACCAGAGAGTGCCCACAGGAAGGGGGCAGATGGAGAGCTCAGATCCAACAGGATAACCAGGATCCAGCTGGAAGGGAATGTGGAGCTGCCACAGTGAGGAAAGTCAGGGAGAAGCCTGCTGAGACTTGTGGCCAGGCTGTTCTTGAGCAAAACCTCCCCTCCACTTCTTGCACACATGTGRCACTGAGAGGTTTTCGGGGAGGTGCTGGGGGAGGATGAGAAGATGACAGTGCCAGACAGGTCACGGGCTGGCCATTGCCAAAGCAGGGACCCTTCTCCAGCCCCAGAGATCTCCCAGAGTGCATGGGAGCTTGGAAAGCAAGGAAATCCCTGATTTTTCCCCAAAACAGAAGGATGGTTCAGGCAGAGGAGCTACATCTGGCTGGTTGACAGCCAGGGCTGTGTAAGGGAGATAAAGGACCTGGAAACATCCCTGAGATGGTAGAGACACCTTCCCTTAAGGCAGGTTGCTTCCAGCCCCGTCCAGCCTGGCCTTGGACACTGCCAGGAATCCAGGGGCAGCCACAGCTTCTCTGGGCACCCTGTGCCAGGGCCTCCCCACCMTTACAGGGAACAATTCCTGCCCAATATCCCATCTAACCCTGTCCTCTGGCAGTGGGAAGCCATTCCCAGTGTCCTGCCCACCATCCCTTGTCCCCAGTCCCTCTCCAGSTCTCCTGGAGCCCCTTCAGGAAAGGGCTCTGAGGCCTCCCTGGAGCCTTCTCCATGTGCACACCCCCAGCTGTCCCAGGGTGGCTCCAGAGCAGAAGGGCTCCAGCCCCTGGAGTCTCTAGACTCTCTCCATCCTCTCTGCCAACTCCTATTAATTGGCTGCAGAGAGCTGTGAGATCCTTCGAAACTTTCCCTTTTCCAATCTGAGCAAACCCAGCTCTCCCAGCCTTCCCTATGTTTCCYGTTCTCCACTCCTAACCACCTTGGGGCTGAAGGGCAGGCCAAGCCYTTGTTCTTGTCAGCTGGACCTCCACAGGCTCACATTCCTGGTTCCCTGCCTTTGCTGCCCCTGTTTGTGGCAATTGGCGCATGCAGGGGACAGAGGGACACCAGGCAGGACAGGGTGGCTTTGAGTTGGAGAGAAGCTTTAGAGCTCAGTGCAGGGGCCTGACAGCAGCTCCAGACTCAGCAGCATCAAAGCTGAGGACACAGATTGTCCCCTCTGCCCCRCCCTGCGCTTGGACACCCCCTGACAAACAGGTCCCACCCCTGATGAGCAACAACATCACAACACTGAACTGCTGAATGCTCCAAGGGCTGTGCAGGCCTGACAGCAGGGAAAAAGGGATGTGGTCAGCAGGGAAAAGGGACGTGGTCAGCAGAGAAAAAGAGATGTGGTCAGCAGGTCACTCTGGAAACAGGCACCAGGAGTGGCCATGAAGCTACCAGGGAAGGGCAGGCCCCAGGGAGTAGCCCTGGGAGGGGAAGATGGTGATGGAGCAGGAAGGATCTCTGCCTTCCCTCCAGGACAAGGCCAACCCACCCAGTTTTCATTTCCTTGTGTTCCCATCTCAGTGGAGGAGCCTCTACAAAACAGGCCAAGGAGCTGCTGCTCTCACCCATCTCTCCCCAGTCCCCTCTGTCTGGATTGTGCCCGTGTCGGGGGAGCTGCCCCTGCTCTGTTGCTGCCCCAGCTCTGGACAGGAGCTATCCTGGGGGASATGCTGCACTCCAGACTCACCTGGGGGCCCCCTTCTCACTGCGGACCAAGGCAGCCCAAGGGCAAAGCCTGAGCTGGAGTTTGAGTCTGGGAACAAAGACCCAGATGGAGCCCCAGGACACTGCCCAGAGAACCTGGCTCAGCATCCCTGGAGCTGGCCCCATCCCAGGGACTTCCCTGGTGCCGGTGACACCTGCATGGCAGGGTGTGACATCCTCAGAGAGGACACGTGGGAGGGGATGGGTGCAAGGAGGAACTCCTTGTGCTGGTRGCACAGCCGGGGGGTGCAGCCTGTTCTGGGGCCCGATTATCCAGGATTGCTGCAAGAGCCTTCCCTTGAAAGGGGGCCCTGCTGGGCGGGCGGCGGGGGCGGCTGCTCTGGGTGTGTCACACACATGCCCTGCACTGGTGCCCCCTCAGGGCTGCGGTCTGGTGTCTTCCCAGGGGGACATGCCAGCCCCTCAGCAGGGCTGTGTCCCCACGCCAGGCTGCCAAGTGACACTGCCATGGCTGTCCTGTCACAGGGAGGAGCAGAGCATTGGGATCACAGCTCTGCAATGATGCCAACTCCATGCCTGGCSTCCTGCCCTCCCAAATTCCAGGAGGATTTTTCTGCCGCTGCCGACACAGGTGAGTCCTTTCCAGATGAACCTGTTGGGCTGACCACATGCCTGTGGTGTCCTGGCACTGGCACTGCCCAGCACTGCTGCCCACCGGGATGTGGTGTGGGTGACAAGTCCCACTGTGTCCATGATCGTCCATTTCCTCTTCTGCAAAAGCAGCTGCTCCAGGACTGTGCCCCTCCACCCTCCTCGCAGTCTGTGCTGGGAAGGCTCTGATTCCTGCACAGCACCCGACTCCTCCCTGGGCTGGAAGCGCCAGACCACGCTGATGGGGACCTGCATGTGTCCTGTAGCATCCCAGTGCCCTGCCCAAGGAGGACAAGAGAACACAGCTGAGAAGAGAGCATGGACAGATCCCAAATTACTCCCAGGACYAAGTGAGCAGCGCCAGGGAAGGCTCTGGATGCCCAGGGCTGTGGCAGCACAACCCTGGGTGGGACACACAGAGCAGGGCTGACTCCTGGGCTCATCCTCCATCCCACCTCACTCCGGAGGTGCTGGGGACAGATCCAAGGAGTGGGGGATGAAGAGGGCACTGGGTGCCAAGAGTGGGGCARAGCTGCTCCTCCCAGGTTTTATTTACTCCCTTGTCACCTAGCAAGGGCTGCAGGGAAGGACTTTGACGATAGTAACCCCAGCAGAAAAGAATGAACAGGATAATCTGGAAGCTCATTTTGTTTTCTAAATAACCATGAAACCCTGTTAAATAAAAACTACTTTGAACCACTCTGTATGTTTATGCAAGTCATACTACTGACACGATTTCAGAAGGGTATCTTTTATTTTCACACTGAAACCCAACACCGGGGATTAGAGATCGCATTTGAGGCTCAGTCAGCACAGCCTGAGAGATTCTGTTTCACTCCTGCTTTCCAGGAACAGTCCACCCTAGACTGGCTTTGCAAAGTGGACAAATATCCACATGTTCACCTCCAGACTGAACAGGGAAACACAGATTTTCAAASAGAATTTATGACCTGGCTCCTGAGCCACCATCAGGGAACAGTGCTAGAGATGAGCAAGGAGCTTCCCTGACATCCAAGGAGATGTCCAAGCATCCAAGTCACCCCTACACAGCTGGTGCTGACACTCCAAGTCCCTTTTGCCACGTGTGTCCTTGCAAAATTCCATTTGGACTGGGAATATGCTGAACTTCCACAGCTCCGTCTCCATATGAGGGGATGTTGGGCTGCTCTGGGAAGCTGACCATTGCCAGTGCAGCCCCTCTGTCTGTGGCTCCACATTCCAGGGAAGGAGCACAGACACCCCAGGTCAGCCTGACCTGGATCCAACCCCCAGCCAGAGGAGCTTGGGTCAGCGCAGGTGTGACCTCCCCTCAGCCTTAGGGACAGGGCAGGAGTGACCTCCCATTGGCCTTACTTTAGGGATTTATTCCCCCTCCCAGGCCCTTGGCTGCACTCCTGCTCCACATTCCAGCAGCCCCAGGCACTGCAGGCCCTGGTGACACTCACTGGCAAATCCCAAGTGGAGTCAGAAGCAGAAAAGGCAGGGTCTGATGTCTGACCATGGCACAAAACCAAGGAGGACAGCAGGAGGCTCATGCTCCAGAAAGCAYCCCTGCCCTCCTGCCACATCTCTGCTGGGAATGGAGAGTCTGATCKAGTCATTTGTGAGGGAATGTCCCCCTCAACTTTGTCCTGGCAGGGAAAGCAGGCGGTGCTGGGGCCACAGTCAGTTGCCAAAGCCCGAGCAAGGGATGTCAGGGATGGCAGGGGACACCTCCCTCTCTTGTGTCTTCTGCAGGGTGCAACGAACTCCACGTGGGGGAACTGCCTGTGCCCTCCAGATCAGGGAAATCAGGGAAATCAGGAAAGGCCCAGGCTGGAAGGACTGCAGGAGGTCCTGAGCCCAAGGTTCAAAGCAGGGCTCAGGAAAGGCCAGCTCAGGTGACTCCAGTCCTTGTCCCAGTGACTTCTCAGGGAAGATCCCACCCCAAGGCTGCATGGCTCTCATGGAAAAAGCTTTTTCTTTACAGACAGCTGGAGTTGTCCCTGTTGGAGCTGCTGCATGGTGCTACTTACCCTTTTCCAGAGCCCCCTGCAGGGCTCTGGGCTTTTCCTGTGGTTGAGGAAACCCCTGGGGAACCTCGGGGAAACCTCAGGGGAACCTCTGCTTCTCCAGACTGGAGGCACCGAGGCACCTCCTCCCCCAGCCCTGGGTTTAGTGTGCTCTGGCACCAAATGTCTTCCCYGAGAAGAGAAAAATGTGGTTTTAAGCAAATTGAACAATTCCATGGACTTAGAGTTTCCGTGCACARATCAGGAGAGACCATGTGCGACCAAAGTGGCCAAGTGGAGTAATTTTAAACTCCAAACTCACAATATGCAAAGCCCCTGCGAGAGGCGGGGAATGAGAGGTCTAACAGCAGAACTTGGCTGATTCGGGGGCTTATTGTGGGTTTTTGCCATTTCTGCACACTCGAGGCTCCTGCTGGGTGGAAGGAGCTGCCAGGGCTGCAGATGAGGTTCCCCCCTCGAATGGCACAAGGAGCTTTACAGACGCTGCAGCTGCTGAGGCTGGGATACACAGGCCATTAAAATTGCACCCTTAGGGACTGTTCTGCTGCTTAGGGATGGCTGAAAAGGAAATCTTACATTGCTTCAAAGATCAATGTGCCTCATGCTCCTCCTGGAATCAAACCAGACTGACTTTTGCCAATGTTTGCTCTGGAGAACCGGGGAAGAGGTTTCAAGAGTGACTGAGTAGCAAATGTCCTGAATAGGTTTTAATCTCTGATTTAAGTTGATTTGAGAAAATAAAATAAGATTTAGAGCCTTCTAGACAGAAATGGTGTTTAACACATGTTTTCCAGTCATTTCTACTCCATGTTCCACTTGAGACCTCATGTCCTGGGAATTTCCTGCCCTTGTGGGGAACTGAACAGCAGASGCAAGAGCCCCCTGCTGCAGCCCAGCAGCAGCTTTGGGAGGAGGGAAACTCCTTGGGAAGAGAAACTCCTTGTCCTTGGCACAGCACATGGCATCCAAAGCATTTGCCCTGTCTGTGGGAAGGCAGAGGACAAATTTGCAACTGGGACACTTTTTCAACATTGGCCAGGACAAGAAGTCTTGTCCCAATGGCTGAGACAAGGAAACAATGGCCAAGGGGACCTCCACCCCCTCAGGTGGGTGTCCTGAGGGTCTGCTCTGCTCAGCAACATTGGAAGGGTCATCACAGAAAGAGGGACAGAGACTGGTCTGGGGTCCTTGGGTCATCCATCATCCATCCATGGAGGGTGTCCTGGCCATCCTGTTTTGAGATGTCCCTCCTCAGAGCAGGCTGAGCCCATGGGTCCTGCTCTCAGACCTTTGTGGTGGCCTGAGACACAATTATTGTTCTATTGTGTGGGGCTTTTCCTGTGTCAGAAATAACTGAGAGAAGGTGAGGTGGGATTTTTATAGCACAAACCCCAAGATTTGTCCTGGAGAGAGCTGGGTGGAGCAGCTCAGAAAAAGCTGGAGAGGGAGCCTGGGCTGGGCTGGAGCTGCTCCCTGGGCCCTCCCTGCAGCACAGGGACACCAGGACAGGGGTGTCACACCCACGCGGCACCCACAGAGGATCCAGGGGGGACGGTTTTCTCCAAGGCCCCCAGAAAGCCAAAAAGCCCAAGCCAGCTGCTGGAATGGCCTTGGCAGCACGGCAGCCCCTTCCCCCAGTCTGGCCATTCCCACAGAAACAGGAGTGTCCCAAAGGCTCTGTGTGCTCCTGGGGGTTCACAGCCAATGTCACCACGGGGGCAGGAGGCTGCACTCAAACTTCACCTGTCCTAGCTGTGGGGATGGTTCATAGGGACAATTCATGGGCTGTTCCTGTCCCTGAAAAAGGGCGTTTGAGAGGGAAAAATGAGGCTGTTGATAATTTGAGGTGAGTGTCTTTTACCCATGGAGCTGTGCCCCTTTTGGGGGGTCACAGTGTCCTGCATGAGAGTAGGGAAAGTACCTGGAGACTTTTTGTGCTTCCTTCCCACCCTACAACGTTCAGATCCTGCCCTTCCTCAAGCACCAAGAGACTCCCTCCAGCACAGAGAGAACAGCCAGGACAGTGGCACCTCACAGCAGAGACAGGGGGGTGACAGGGGAGCTCTGGACACTGCCCTGTGACCAGTTTGGATGTGATCAGCCCTGTCCTATGTGGTCCCACCTATGCTCAGGGCTCTGGGCTGGCCCAGGCCAGGCTCAGCTCTCAGGGCAGAAAGGAATGGTCAGGTCAGGCACTGCCCAGGTCAGTGCTGGTCTCAATTCCTCCTCCCCATAGATCCCAGGGCCATCGGTGGTGGGGGGTGACCCACGTTTGGGATTGTACTAAAGGCAACGAGCTCTTCTCTGGGGACTTTTCCAGAAGGTGGCAGAGGGATGTGGTGCAGCCCTGCTGAGCCTGGTGCCCCCTCCTCAGCCTGGCTCTCTTTGGACAGGTCTCTCCCAGGAGATGTGAGCTCCTGGCTGGACGAGTTCTAAAACCCAGCTCTCAGCTCCTTCTCCCAAACACGTGTCCCTGTAATAGAGGAGTTTATCCTCTGCTGGAATGAAGCAACTCAACCCTCCCCTTGCATTGCCGAGCCTTTCAAGCATCCTTTGATAAGCAGTGTGAGCACAGCTCTCTGGGCATTGCYACATCCCCTGGCGTGCTCTGCCCTGCCAAAGCTGAGTTCCAAGCTGGTTATAAATGAGGCACCACGCTCCGCTTTCATCTGCTCCCCGAGCGAGCGGGCGGGGGCAGAGGCCACGCCAGGGCAGAGGAGCCGGGCGTGGGCAGGGGAGGGGCAGGACCAAGATGGGGCAGCACAACCCCCTCAGCCCCTGCCAGCCCTGCAGCATCGAAGGAGCTGAGCTCGGGGGACAAAGATGGCAGAGAAATCTGGGGTTCTCTGAGCAGTGACAGCAGCAGGAGCAGCACAAACGAAGGGGGAGCTGATGATGGGGAAGGGTCTGGAGGGGAAATTGYGTGAGGAGCAACTGAGGGCCCTCGGTTTGTTCAGCTGAAGGTCAGACCTCACCAGGGGCTGCAGCTCCGATCTCTGCTCTCTGTCAGCAGGGACAGGGCCCAGGGAAGGGCTGGAGCTGTGTCAGGGCAGGGTCAGGCTGGATCTCAGGGAAAGGCTCTTCCCCCAGAGGGTGCTGGGCACTGCCCAGGCTCCCCAGGGAATGGGCACAGCCCCGAGGCTGCCAGAACACCAGGAGTGTTTGGACAATGCTCTGAGGCCCAGGGTGGGATTGTTGGGATGTCAGGGGTTGGACTGGATGATCCCTYTGGGTCCCTTCCTGTTCAGGATATTCTGTGATTCACTGAGGCAGCACCATCCCATCAAAAGGACCACAGAGCTCAGGTGGCTTTACACAGACAGAGGGGGGAGAAAGGCAGAGCTGTGGGTACAGAAGACAAAAAGCTTCACAAGCCACCACATCTGCAACCTCCTACCACTCCAAGGCCACCCTGGAGGGAACGGAATTGCCCAGACTGGAGCTTTGGGCTGGGTCAGAGAGAGGCTTTACTGCATAGGAGTGAAGAAATGTCATGTGCAGGGTAACAGAATTTCCAAGGTCAGAGCCTCTGGGTCTGTCATGCAAATCTGCATCTGCTGCAGAGGCTGAGCCTGCCCAGGGCAAGGAGGAGCCCGAGTCACTGGGAGGCTGAGGGAAACCTGCGTGAGCCACTGCAAGCAATGACAGTTTGCTGCTCACAGTGATTTGATTCACGACT